TTTTCGAGATTTTGTGGCGCATTAACCGTTTCTTGATTTTTGCAGGGAATATCCGGTATCTGATATGGCTCATCGTTTTTTGTTAGACAATTATCGGCAGCCGGTAATCTATGCTTCAGTGATGGCCACAGGTTTTTGTGAAAAAGTTCGTCGTTTAAGAAAAATTAAGCAGTTGCGGATAAAACTTGTTCATATTTGGTCATATATTCGTCTCTGTAGCATCGCTGAAGAAACTGTTACCAAACATGGAAAGTAAGTTTTTTTTTTTTTGCAAAATTCTGCACTACTGATCAATGCACGCTTAATTTAACAAGATTTCGAAAACTGCGATATTGCTTTGCTAGTTTTGCCGATTTAATTTCAATAGTGTGGATAAGTCAAAAATGCATATATCATACTCTAAAACATAATATGATTCCGACAGGTAAAACTCTGGTTTCTTTCTTTTTTTTTTAATAATATCTCGTTGTAGCTTATATGGAATATTCTCTACAGTACCAAATTATATGCTAACAGATGCTGATGTCTATTCGATGGCCGATTTAGAGGATGTCCAGAAAGGAGAGCTTTTTAAAATCATTGCGCCAATTGTCAAATATGGACGGTATCATGTTGAAAGTTGCGAGGTGAATTCTTTTGATTTACTGAGAATAGTATATAATATTATAATATGGAAGGAAAATTATGGAAAAAAAAATTTTCTGATATAACGCGAGAAAGCTAAGGGGCGTTGCAAGATTTCAAATAAAAAGAAGACATGACTAGAAGGGAGAAGATCGATGTAGTGACGATGATCAGCCTGTTAATGATTCTGATTTTCATTATTTTTGAGCATGTGAATGCCAAACTTTATCCAAATTAATGGACCGAAACATTCCTGTTCAGTTGATTAATTTCGACGTTGCTAGGGTTTTTTGAAAACTGATTTTTTGAAAATCTAGGATTTTTTGAAAATTGATTTTTTGATCTTTTGAAAATCTAGGTTTTTTTGAAAATTGATTTTTTGGTTTTCTGAAAATCTAGGATTTTTTGAAAATTCCGGCGTCTTGAAAATTTTTTTTTTAAATATCACCACTGGAAATCCCCACTGGAAAAAAATATCGTGCTGTAGTGATGAAATTTTAGCACTGTAGTGCGCAAGCATTTGTATGCGAATTGTGTGACGAACGAGACGATCTGTTATTTCCGTTTCAATTCGAGCGTGTGGAACGATGTGATGAGTGCGGTTCTTTGAGCCATCGAAAATGTGCGGCAAAACGACGCAGTAACGGAAAACCATGCCCAAAATGCATGCGAATCCAACAAAACTTGTTAGTTTTAATTTTTCTTTTTTGGCATTTGGCCAAAAATTCTGGTAGGGCTTGACTGGAAAAAAACTATCTGGTTTTGCTAAAGGGAATTTTGAAGAAACCTGGCTTAATTTTGCTCAGTATGTGGCGTTTCGAAGATTTGAAGGTGGAATTTTATCCTATGAATGGAATAATCCAAACATCGCCGTTGCAGTCTTCCGCCTTTTTCTGGGGGAGATTATTGTTGATAATAAGAAATTTAGCAATTTTTTACTTTTTTTTTACTTTTCTGATTGAAGTAAATTCACTATAAGTAATAAAATTGGAGCAGTTTTCAGTGAAAGACATCGGCGCCATTCGGGAAGCAGTTTGGCACTACCAGTTGAACAACTACAGGACTGAATGATGCCACTGACATTCATACTGCAGTGTTTAATTTTTGCAAAAAAAAAAAATTCTGCTTTACGGTCGAATTAATCGGTTTTTCAACCGAATTTAGCTCTTTCAGAGCTCCTGTATTCATATTAATTTTGGACACTATCACTAATGAGATCGCTCTAAAACCGATTTTTTTTTTTGAATGATCTTAGTGAATGATCATTAACAGTAACGAGTAACTTTGTAATGAAAATTAAGCCTGTTAAAATCCCCCGGTGCACCGGTACGGCGGTTTTATTTTGCTATTTTATTTGCATTTGGTGACTGAGCGATTTATTCCAGGAAGTCCGATTACTACGGAAAAATACTAGTTTTTGGGAATTTTGTCTTAGATTTTACTCAAAAATGAGGCTCAGAAATGAATGAGGCTGCTTTTTTATTTATTTTTTCTTTTGACTGATTATCGATCAGCCAATGATCCTCTAGCGAAAGGCCTTCATTTTTCGGTTTTTATGAGTGACAGAGGCACTCGAGAAGCAGCCCGAGTGGTAGCAAATGCCAACAGCAGTCGCTCGCTAGCTAGATTTTGTTGGCTCGCTCTTTCGGAGGTTGCTTACAAGCAAGCTGATGGCCGGTTTGACTCTCTGGTATATGCCAGTACCAATTCACGGCCGAAACGAACGAACGTAGCTTAAAAGGAATTGGTTGTTCTACAAGACATAGTCATAATTTTTAACATAAATCGATTTGTAAATAATTTCTGTGATTGTGATGATTCGAAATGTCTTGGCATGGTATGATGTTCACTTCTTTCTGTATTTTCGGGTGAATATATGTCTTCGCCTCTTTAAAAAAAGAGATTAATTTCTATGATTTTCTTCAGTATTATGTAGAAAGCCTTGTACCTTTTGATTCTTTCCGCACTTTTTGAGCTATGTGTTTCGTTGATTTCTTCTGAAATATCTACATTAAACTGACTGATTCTTTTCACAGACCGATGATTGTAAGTCTCGAAAACGAATTTGACAGTTAGTGAAGTAACATCGTTGAAACTGATAATTTTTATATATAAATTTTGATTCAGACGAATAAAATGGTGTAAATTTCGATTATTCCAAATTGTAAATCCCGGTTACAACAGCGTACCGCCATCCTCAACCACTATCACCGTTTATTGTTTCCAACTCCTGACTAGCACCCTTGTTCCTCTCTATCTTGTCTCCAATCCATGCTCCCTTGGAGCTTGGGCACTCACTAGCCACCACTTCCAAATACATCGAGCATCCTCCCCCTTCTTCCGCTAGTATGTAGTAACTGCGATTTATAATTTGAAATAACCGAAATTTACACCATTTTATTCGTCTGATCCAAAATTTATTATGTATTCATATACCCGTCTGATTCTAAATTTATTATTTCCGTCGTCGTGAATTGTTCAACTGTCGAAGTCGAATCGCTGACTTATTTCATTCTTATCAAAAATCTACTTTGTCTAATTACATCCGGGTTGGCTTACTTCAAAATGTTATCTTTTGCATTGCAATAAATGGCCCTGTTCATTGTCGAACTTATCACACTGCACATTCAACAAACGCGTTGCTCACTCAACTACGATTTAATACCACCTCTTGAATTACGTTACAATACAACTCACGGGTATATCACCGCATTATCATCGCACATATTTTTAAAAAAAAATTTATTATGACTCAGGAAGCCATCGAAAATATATTAACTAAGCCACTAGCTAAGTACTATCCAAAAAATAACTTTGAATCGTAGCTGTGCAGTGCTTGTTCCGGTGTGTCGGTGATCCAAGAACACTGGGCAACAGTAGAGCGCCCGGAATAGCACAGACCAATGAGCAAAATAAGAACATGTCAAGACTGCAGAAATTTGAAGTTTTTTTTTTTCTTTCAAACTATTTTTCTAAATCGCATTGCCCTTGAAATTCGAAGATTTTTTATTTGCATAGTTAAAAAATTTAAACTTTGGATTGAATTTTTCCTAATAAATATCTTTCTATATGTCTGCATAGTTAAAATATCTTTGTATATTTAACAATTTGCAGTTAATGAATACCGCATTTTAGCGCAAATCTCAAAAATCTTTTAATAAATATGAATGTGAGAATAAAGATGT